ACAAATCATTGGATAACGCAAATACAATTATAATAACCAGCTCAGTGAAAGAAAACGACGTCCAAGTATTTTGTTGGTTGAATCACCAACCATGGTACAACAGCAAATCCTACTAATTGGGTAAAATGTTTCAGTTGTCAAAAAACTAATCATCTAGACTTCATTTCTGAATGCAACGATATCAATTACTTTTAGATGTAAATATTAATCAATTTTATTATAACAACTTAAGCACAATTTTAAATAACCACTTACAATGTGAACGGATATCCTTCTACATCCTTAACAGTACTTCATGATATTCAGTAGATATGTCTAATACAACATTGCACCTATCTTGTAATATTAGTAGCAGCAGGTTAAGGTGCGGCTGTGGTGGCCCAAGGGTTATATTGCTATAAGTCACTGAGGCCGTTAGTTGAACGGCGCCGTTTAGTAAAAAAGCTAGGCTGTTAACTAAAGGTCTAATTAAGCTAGTTCGCTGCGACATATGCACAATGAAAATAAAATGCGGGGACTCTTTTACGAAATACCATGACTCGAACTTTTTTTTCTTCATAGAATAAGGGTGACAGACGAGCACACAGTCCACCTGATGGTAAGTGGTTGCTGTGGCCCATGGACATCTACATCTATCTTCGTTTGCGAATTAAAATGCAGATGCGTTGTCAGCCGTGAAGACTAAAATAGAATGCCTCTTTTCCAGTAAAAAGGGTCTCCGGTTCTCTACACTCACCATGTCACACAGCTGCATTAAGCTGCTATTTCACGCTGCTTTTCTGTGAGAGCGTGGTCCTTCCCCGGTCGAGCCGACCTATTCGTGCTACAATTATACTATTAATATAGCTGTAGCATAGCTCTACCACGTATAAATTAATAAAATCGGGATTTTTGCAAATTAATTTCTAACATCTTTAATAACTCGAATTGTATCCAAGAGTTTTCTTCTTATTCTGTATCAGTACATTATATTCCATTGCTAGACAAGGGCCTTTTCTACTGCAAAAGGGATTTGTCGATATTGCCACGGTTAACAAGTAGATTGGCGGTCGCAGTATAAGATGTACATTTGACACTGCTCCGCGTCGAATATCTGTGTAATTTACATCTTTCTTACTATACGCTATAATGGTATTGTCTAACAAATAACCACGAGGTATTTCTATATTTTTAAATTCGTCTTTCACGGCACCCATGGGAAAACTGGGGTAATAATTTTCTTACACCGCCACTAAACGATAAATAACACAACTATTTTTTTACACAAATGATTGATACTGTGAAATATTTTTTTCCTTATTTCTGAACGTTTTTACTATAATTCACCTTTAATATTATTTAATAGGGTGATGTAGTATCGCGTAAGTATGTAAGAGCCGTCAAGTGCGCCTGAGGAAAATGTTGCCAGATATCAGCCCAGACAGATCTTAACATTACTATGAATTAATTCCACAATTTTAAACAACCGAACCAGAAAATATTTATTTATAGGCCATAAAAATAGTTTAAATATATAGAAAATGCCGTAATAGTAACATTTTTAATAGTAAGATTTGTTTTGCAAAAGAGAGCCGTACGGGCACTTTATATAATAAATTGTAAAGAGTCCCTCAGAGAAAAATTTAAAGAAATAAACATATTAACTTTGGCATCGCAATATATTTATGAAAATGTAATGTATGTACATAAAAACATAAATAGCTTTAATAAGAATAAGGATGTTCATACCTTAAGCACTAGAAACAAACATAAGCTTGTAATGCCAGTTACTAGACTCCACAGAATCAGTAATTCATTTATGGGGCAATGTATACGCTTTTACAACAAAATTCCAGAACATGTTCAAAGTTTGTCAATAAACAAGTTTAAAAGTTTTATTAAAGAAAAACTGTACAAAAAGGGTTATTATAATATCAAGGAATACATGAATGAAAATAACCCATGGGAATAAGGTGATCGCCACCATGCTGGTTCTATGAAAATTCATTTAAAATTGTGTAAACAAAATTATTGTTAAGTGAAATTATGTTTAAAAAAAAGTCCCGTTGGGTTTCTTGCTGGTTCTTCCCAGGACAAAGGTATTTTCCGAACCAATGGTAAATAAAAAAAATTACTTTCAATAAAAATATTATGTAATAATCAATATCGAATAAAAATCATTCTATTCTATTCCATTCTATTCTATTACAACGATAAAATAACTAAGAAAAGCATTTAAAGTTATTTTATACAAGTATGATAGAACAGTGGTAGCTAAGTGCCTAAGTGCCTACTGTAAATTTTACAGAATCCCCGATCACAGAAACACGATCCCCGCCGGTACCAATGAAATTGTTAAATCCAATTTCATGCTGATTTTCTACGTGCTCAGCGGTGACAGGAAACATCGTGGAGAGAGAAATGAAAAAAAAATGGTTTTGAAGCACGTGGCATCCGCCAATACACACTGGGTCAGCGCGGTGGACACTTCCTCGTCCTAGCCCTCTCAGAAATAAGGGTAGGCCTGTAACGAGGAGTGGAATGTTGTGGTCAGTCCACCTGATAGGGTTCGGTGTCACATAGGCTTTATTTTAGGATAAGGGTGACAAACGAACACACAGTCCACCTGTTGGTAAGTGGTTGCTGCGGCCCATAGACATCTACATCTATCCTCTGTTACAAATCAAAATGCAGATGCGTTGTCACCCGTGAGGACTAAGATTGAATGCCTCATTTCCAGTAAAAAGGGTCACCGGTTTAGAGATGTCTCTTTTCATCGCATAGATATCGATTAAGAATCAAAATGCAGATACGTAATCACCCCTGAAAATTACTGCGATAGAACGCCTTGTTATCAGTAACAACAGCTTCTGGTTACCGTCATTCATGAAATGAAACCGTGCTATTTCACGCTGCTTACTTAAGCTACTATTATACGCTAATATTTAAATTCCGTACAAAATGGCCACCTGACGGCTTTTTTTACAGGTATTTTTACCAGCTAATCTATAGAAATCCAAAATTTAAACCTTACCCAGTTTTAGAATTTTTCAATACATAACGATTTAATACGTCTATCTAGAACGGAAAATATTAGTTGTTGCTAAGAGCTTCCCCTGTAAAGGTCATTAAAAATGATCCAAAAAAACAGCCAGTATTAAAATTTTCTATTAATTAAGCACGCGTAAAATTTGACCCGCTCCATACCAAAGTTTAATAAATCTTCTTTTATCTCGCTTAAATTTTTGATGAAACATTTTTAATCAGATCATAAGATTATATTTTTATGTAATGATTACTACACATGGACTAAAACGAATTTTACGGATTTTATCGCGTTTAATTTTAACTTTTTTTTAATTCTCGACGTTTCGGACACTACAGCACTCGTAGTCACGGGGTGAACTCCACCTTTATAAGCGATATATTTTATATCTTTATAAACTTCATTAACTGTCTTTGTTTTGGAACGAAGTTCCTTATCGGACGGTACGAATTCGGCGGATGGGGGCAAGGCATAAATAAGTGTAAGATTTTTCCCTTACCCCTTCGTCGTAGAGGGCCTTGGCGGCTATAAGGAATTGAGATGGAATAATATCTATCTCCCTCGCACTTTTTCTTATCTTGCCATGATAGAAATATTATTTTATTTTAAATGACACGTCATTTTAATAGACGCTAGTAATTCATTTATTTGTATTTGTTAATCAATAATATAATACGTTTACCAATAATAATATACTACGAAAGGAACTTCGTTCCAACCGAGTGTTCCACGACACTCACGCATGTTTTTTTTTTGTATAAAACTAAAGAGACTAACGAACCTACAGTCCATCTGCTGGTAAGTGACTACTGCAGTTCTTGGACACCAAGTTCAAAGAAGGCAAAAGATGAGTTGTCACCTCTGAGGACTAAGATGAAATGTATCACAGCCTGCAATTATACTGGCTCACTGTACCCTTTAGACCGGAACACTGCTTTTTGGTGACAGACATAGGTGAAAGAGTATAGGTACATAGACGACTTCTAAGTAAAAAGAATTATCATCAAGTACAATCCTTTACAATTTAATTCTGTACAATTCCTTAACAATATAATACCTACTCAGAATTAAAATAAACAAAAGAAAACCTTTTAACTTTACTTTATTAAGGTTTAAAACTCAATATGCCTTACAATTTATATAATATTACCTTAATGTTATAAATTTTCGTATTAAATATGAATTTATTATTTCCCAAGGTTTATTGCTCAAAAATAATATGATATATATTTCATTGTTGCCACAATATAATTTTCCCAGACTTCTTTTTAAATTCTACGCTCACGTGCGTCTGTATTTTTTTATAAAAAAACTAAGGAAAAACACATTTTTTTTACAATAGTATGAATTATAACTATATACATTGTCGAATCAGATTTTTAATTATAATTCATATGTGTAGGTAGTACTCTCAAAAAATATGTATTAAGTTTTTTAAACAATTAAAATAATGCAATACAAATGTTTTAGCGTATGGACAACATTTTACGATAGGAAAACGTGATTTTATATCGAAGCTTCCCCGATTTAAGTTTAGTCAACCATATCATGTACCCAATACATATTCAAATGCAGGTTAAGAGGTTGAATTAATTTAGGTAGTGTTACTTATGTATGCTGAAAATAAATTTTATTGACGCGCCCCGCGATTGCAGTGGCATTAGTAGGCCTGGCAGACGTTTTTTACGAGTTTTTTTACATTAAATGATTTTAAAAGTAATTTTCTTAAATTTTACTTTATTAATTAATTTTCATTACAGTTACCTTTTACATTGCATTTTTATTAGTTTCTTTCTTTCAAAAAATATTCCGAGGTCTGTAGTAAAAGTGCAAATAAATAGGACGAAACTTTATTTAAAATTTCCCTGCTAAATTATATATATGTAAGATAGACGTGTATATTTGTTTACAACACAGTGTTTACATAGACAAAATAAATGTACGTTACGTTTACGTATTTAATGCAAATATTTACCCATATAATTTATGTCAACGTGGTTTCTTTCAAAGAAGTATTTTTTTAATAATTGTCAATATATTCACAAAACACTTATTAATGAATTCAGCACGTTTAAATAAATCCTTATAACATATAAACTCTACAAGTACAGCCAGAGGTGAACGCGTGTAGTGAACTTTAACCGCAACTTGTCACAAACTTTACTATTTAACACAAAATCATATAAAATCACGGTAAAAAAATTCACTGGCAACACAGCACAGAAGTTTTTTAAGTCCTTAGTCTATGTTTTATGTCAAAAGCGCGAGTTTACGAACGCATCCAAAGGGCCATTCGAAAGTTCAAATTTTAAAAATTTGAATCAGGAACGCGATGGTTTCGCGCCGGGCGAGCACTATCGACTGGCAGCGCACGCGCAAGTCTACTCGCAACAGCGTTGTGTAAAGGTGTCGTCAACATTTATTATTATATTATACTCTAACACGTTATAGCGTCCTTATGAAATATTAAATTATTTCAAATATAATATTAAAAGGATAATGTAACTAATGATAGCAACTCAATCAACGTCTGTATTATCATTTTTTCAAAAAAGAAAAACTGAATAGATTTTTCTAAAAAAAAATACATTGCATTAAATAACAATTTATTGGAAGCGGTTAAATATATAAATATTAATAAATATTATTGCAAATTTAATTAATATTATTAAAATGATACCAGGCAAATAGTTGCATTTATTATTTTATTTTATTAAATTATAATTTGAGAATACTGTCATGGTTCTGTCCGCATAATAAGCCCTAATTATAATATTTTATATAAAAATTCTAATACAATATTAGCATATTTACTAATATTTATGCGAAAGCTTTAAATTTCTCCAAACATTTACAACTTCTGACAAAACCTGTTGACTCAACACGAACATTCACTGTCTTTACAGTTCAAAGAAAAATAGAGCCGTCTCTTTCCCACTATATCCCTCATCTTATGTAAAATAAGGATAACACTATTGTCACAGGTGATTTTGTATGAACCTCTCTAAAGTACTAAGAACAAAAAATGGCAAATAACAAATTTTACAATCATCGGATTCTAAACCTTAACGCTTTCTAGAATAAGCGATCTTTTCAATGTTATTTGTTCATAATATTAAGATTTGATCTTAACAGATGCTTAAAATGTGTATTTATATTCGACAGCTTGAGCCACGAAGATATTAAAAAGCTTAATTAAAATAAATGTTAGTATTACATTTTCATATGTACACGTTACTTGAAAACATAATTTTGGTACAGAGATGCGTTTCCGTTGCCGGACAGCGGATAGGTTCGATCAACCATGAGATTATTTTTGTCTCTTTCTAAAGTCATCATTTTCAGCTAGTTGAAAAGGGACAGTATTATGTTCAGATCTTTATGGAGTAGACGTGGCTTCAATGGGATCTTCCCAGATGAAATCCGGTTAACTTTTGTAGGCAGAAAGGAAATACAAACGTCTCTATATAACTTATAAGCAAAACTTAACAATAATGATAATAATAACATAAAAGAGATAAATAAAAAAAATATTTCATATAAATTATATTTATTTGAGATTAACAAAGATTTAACATTATCATATTTTGAATAAAACTATGTTTACGGATTTTATCGCGTTTCATTTAGTTATTTTAATCCCCGACGTTTTGGGTGCTTTACAGTAACCCATGATCACGGGGGGACTGAGATGTTTGACGTCCTGATGTCATAGTTAGCCCGGCTACCTTCAGCTTTAAAAAGAACATATAGCTTACTTGAAGCACCGACGTTCCGGTAAGTCTGCAGTATGTGAACATATTCAAGATGGCCCCCGCCATTTCACCATATTTGATAGACCACAAATCCTCGCAAAAGAACACCGATTCCTACTAAGGATGATTCGCGAGGCTATTGGAATTAAAAAACATCCTAATTTAAGTAGAGAAGATGGATGGGTGATGCCACCTGCTTGGGATCCTATAATTAACAAAATTAAATCCAAACTCAACTCAAGCATACCACAGCAAGACTTCAAGATATTGTAAGCTCATTCTGCGTTGATCGAACCAAAAATTAATATTCAAAAACTGAAGGTAGCCAGGCTAACTATGACATCAGGGTGTCAAACATCTCTGTCCCCCCGTGACCATAGGTGTTGTAAACACTCGAAACGTCGGGAATTAAAATAAGTAAATTAAACTCGATAAAATCCGTAAACATAGTTTTATTCACTGTGTAGTGTTCGCGTAAATATAAGAAATAATTATTATCATATTTTTCTTAACACAAAAATATTTCAACATAGCTAAACTATGCCTAAGGAATTATGAACCGTATATGGTAGAGTCCTTCAAAACCTGGCTCGTTAATGACTTGGCAATAGCATCATTATCATTATTTGAGCTCTTCACCAATCCACTGCTGAACAAAGGCCTTACTCGAGAAACGCCAAAAAACATAGTCCAGAGTCAAATGCGTCCATCGACTTCCTGCTTACTTTGGCTATATCAGGTCATCTATACAAATAAATGAAATTGAAGTGTCTATTTGTAATGTCAAAATAACAGCTTTTTACTAAATGCGTATGAAAAGTTATGCAGTAGTTATAACAAAAAGACAATTTTTTAAATTTTTGTCTGTCTGTTTGTTTGGACTAATCTCCGAAATGGCTGGACCGCTTTTGGCGGGACTTTCACTGGCAGATATCTGATGTTATAAGGAGTAATTTAGGCTATTTTCTTTCAGAAAAGAATTAGAGATCCGCGCAAAAAAATTAAAACCTAAAATTACACACGAGCGAAGTCGCGGGGAACAGCTAGTATCAACATAAAGAAAGAACTACTCTTCTGTTGACCGAATGTAGAGTAAAGCAAGTCTATGCAAGCGCTGTGTATGGGGGGCGGCGTAGGTAAATCAAATACCCCCATTAGTCTCTAAATGTCGTAAGGTAGTGGAAAAGTCATTGCATATTCCAGATTCAACATATCCAGACTTGCCAACTAAAATCGCGGCAAAAACGCAAGACGTCTTGTACTCGTATTTTGACCGTCAACCCGATTAGCAAAGATTGGGAATAAAAGTAATTTCTAGATATATATTTACTTAATGATAAAGGAGTTCATTCATTTAAGAGTTTTGGTGTCACTAAAAGATAAGTTATCGTCTTAGGAGAGTGCAATAGCAATGATTTACTTAGGGTCTGTTTAGTAACTTAACTTGGGCCGTGGTAGCTCAGATGGTTATCGCTGTAAATTTAACAGTACGTGAGCAAACCGGGTTCGATCCCCGCCGGCAACAATGAAATTGTTAGTTGCAATTTTATGTGCTGATTTACCACGTCCTTGGTGGTGAAGTTTTCCTATCGTGAGGAAACCTGCATGTGTGAGAAATAAGAAATAAAAGCATTTCGAGGACATGTGAAGTTCGCCAATACGATTTAGGATAGCGCGGTGTACACTTTCTTGCCCTAAACTCACTCAGAAATGAGGGAAGGACTGTGCCCAGCAGTGGGACGTATATAGGCTGTAACTTTAGTAACTTAAGAAATAGTTAAAAAAGAAACAAGTATACTTGTATTTTCATAACGTAAATCAGAAAATTTTCATTAGTTTCAAGGTTATTATTAAAAACAATGCGACTCTACTTTTGGTAGAGCTGTAAAAATTTTAACGTCTTAAATTCTACTTGACTCTACCTTATAGTTTTAATTTTCACGTTTACTTTGTTTTTATGTGTTATAAGTTTGTAGTGTGTATGTGTGTCTGTCTGTAGCTCCTGAATGGATGAACCGATTTTGACTAAGTTTTTTCGTTTGAAAGGTATCTTAATCGAGAGTGATCTTAGACATGTTTCACGAAAATCTGTTGAACAGTTTGATATAGAGTCTATGTCATAGACTATCAGTCAGCTGTTTTTGTTTCGGTGGTTTTAAAATTTTTGAGTTCTGTATGTAGTGGTTATACTTAACGTAATTATTGTTATTATAATTTGATACTTTTATATACTCTTTGGGTTTTAGAGATTTGAATCGAGCACAGGAAAAATTTAATTAAAGACAATTTTTTAGTTTATATTAAAATTTAAATTATCAAATTATATAAAAAGTAATTATATAACAAAAGTAAATAAAAGTGTGTATATATAAGTTTAATAATTAGGTACTTATAAATTTATTTATTTAACAGTTTATGGACACATAAATACTACGTGGTAGAGCCATGGTGCAGCTATATTAGTAGTGTCAACGGTGGTAGAGCCCCGCAGCAGTTTTTTGCTGTTGCACGTATGGGCAGGCTCGAGCCGGGTTGGTACCACGACCTCACAGAATACCGGCGTGAAGTAGAGGCTCTGCTTCTGCGTTTCGTCTGGTGAGTGCAGGTGGCCGGAGGCTCAATTCCCCCCCCCCCCCCATCAACATGGTAGCGGAATTACAAAGTAGACTACCCCAGGAGGGTACCAGTACCCCTGGAGAATCCCTCGCTGAGCATCCACGACCATGTTATTCCAATCCTGAGCGTGGGTGCTCAGGCTGCCCCGCGTATTCTGGGGGGGGCAAAATTCCGCTCAAAAACAAAACTGCTTGGGGCAAACTGAGCAACAATACCAAGGCGACCCCTGCCACGCTAACCGTGAATTTCTGCAACATCAGGGGACTTCACTCTAACCTAAACGCCGTCCACTACCATCTCGAGACGGCGAAGCCGGCCTTGCTTTTTCTGACCGAGACGCAGGTTTCCTCTCCGGCTGATATTTCGTATCTCTCCTGCCCGGGGTACAAATTGGAGCACTCCTTTGTGCCTCGGGCTGGAGTTTGCGTGTATGTCAGAGAGGACATCTGTTCTCGACGCCTCGGCAGTCTTGAAGGTTCGGACCTGTCCATCCTTTGGCTACGCGTAGACAGCGACGACCATCCGCGCGTCTACGGGTGCCTCTATAGGTCCCATAGCGGTAATGCCGAAACAGACCGACTCATCGACCACGTCCAAATGGCTACAGATTCCTTGCTACAACAGGTCCCATCCGCAGAGATCGTGATCCTTGGCGATTTTAACGCCCACCATGCCGAATGGCTCGGTTCACGTTTAACCGATCATGCGGGGAGATCTGTTTATGACTTTGCTTTGGCATATGGTCTGACACAACTGGTTACTTCGCCTACACGGATTCCAGATGTGGAATCCGTGTAGGCGAAGACCTTCTGCTGGACCTTCTGCTGACCTCTCATCCGGACGGATATCAGGTTTCCGTCGATGCCCCTCTCGGCTCTTCGGACCATTGTCTGATCCGGAGTATGGTGCCACTCACGCTCCCTTCGCGGTTGCGTTCTGCAGGTTGCCGCCGTGTTTGGCATTACAGGTCGGCGGATTGGGACGGAATGCGG